TAGCCATTGACCAAAATATATATTTTTATAAAAATATAAGAGGACAAAGATTATAGACCTGATATCGGAACTGAGAACAAGTGATATGAATTATAGTCATTGCAGAAAAGAATTACAATTAAAAATCTCTAGCAGTTGTATGTTTTACAAAATACTGATAAATAAACTGATTCTGTAAAAATTTCTGCGTAACTTGTTTTATACCCTTGTAATCAATGCTACAGTTTTTCTACTGCATTTCAGAATTACCATTACTTAAAAGATTTGAGGGCGTATGTTAAAAATGGACTAATAAAACAATGTTAAGGATTTCAAGGGACAATGATCTTAAAAAGGGATTTTTCACTAGAAAGGGAAGGGTTTTTATTTCATTAGAAATAACTGACGAAATTGCTGTTGCTGTGGAAGGCAAAGCTCCATACCAAATTTTTCTACAAGTGCTTGAGAATTGGCAGAAATTTAATTTATAATCAACGAAATGTCTTCTCTTTGATCCAGGAGTACTTCTTCCTTTTAGAGATTTATGCATCGCGTTTTTGTAAAATGCACATTTTTAAGTTCACATAACAGTAATTTTCTCGCACAGTTCTTGCTTTTTAATGGCTGTATCTTACTGTCTTGAAGAAAGAATAGAGAAATTACTTCTGTTCATTCATCAGTGAAGAAGATTCTGCGTCTCAGGTTCCGTGATAATAGTGCCATTTGCGGATGTTTCCAGATTTTTGCTCAACCTTTTTCCTCATTTATATCCTTCAGACTTATAGTTCTTGGGGATTCTTCAAAGGTCACATGCATATCAAGAAAGTGCGCATATTTTATCGAGAGGAGAAGATCATCAAGTTGTGGCATGACTAACTTATTCTCTCTGAAATTCTTCCTGCAACTCTTAAAAATGACACATTTTTATTCCAATATATATTTAATGTTGACGGCTTCCAGCTGAGTGCACAACTTTGTAAAACTAAATTTTATTTTTCTAAAAGGATTCTGACCATTCGTTTTATAACAATACACCTTTCAGCTCCGCGTTTTCTCTGGTGTCAAAAATTTGGTTTAAGTCTTTATTCTTCAGAAATATCTTGCCTATAATTTTAGTAGCATGTATATGGAATTTAAAAGCTTTATAAAAATATAATGATTAAAATGAGCTAGAGGTGTCTTTGAGTAGCTTAAATTTAAATAAACTGATTTTTGTTTAAACGCATAATTGATTATTCACATTTCCCAAAAAAAAGTTATCTTTTAATTTAATGCATTAAAAACAATTACTTTCACTGTTTCTCTTAACATGTTTAATGCTGCATTTTTGTATTCTTATATAGAGACTGAATTGTTTTTCTTCATAAAAGACTACATACTTTATTGAAAACACCTTGTTATGTTCACTTCTTTGTGGAATGGGCTGGAAATCAAACCTCTACACAATAAATATCATAAATATTTTACTCTTGCTCCAACGTACAAACTGGAAAGACAACTTTTATATCTTTTGAATACAGTTACAATAAATATAATCACGTGTTGCCACATCTCTGAAACACAATCACAGAAAACTTTATTCATTTAAAAATAGAAATAAATTATTTTTAGCTTTATACGAATAGCAGGAGCGCTCTCTTTCGGCGAGCAATGGATGGCGTAACACACCTTATTAACTGCATTTTCAGCATTACTTATATCCCGGTATCACATAAAAAATGTATTTTTTCTTTGACATCATTCTTTGACATTTTTTCTTTGACATTTTTTTTGGAAAATCGGTAATGATAAGAAATCCTCAAAAGTTTTACCGTTCATCATATCCTATCCAAGAGATTGTTCGTCATCTTTCTTAACTATCTCTGTTAAAAAACTTCCACTGATGCGCATCCTGGGAAAAAGGTAGTTCTGGTTTCGTTTTCATTTATTATTTCTAGTTATTTATTTTTATCCCAAGGTCGTGTTTTATTTTTATTTTTTCCGGCACAGAAGATACTAAATTGGAATTCTTTACAAATAATATAAAATATGTGTTAATATGCAGCAAGTTAAGGACGTACAGGGATGTACCAAGTTTAGGACTCAGGATTGTAATCACACACAGTCATTCGTAATTTTTTCATGAGCTAAAGTGTATCCATGACATAAACTAGAATTCCATTACTGTAGACATAAAATAATGACTAATTGAATCAATCATTTCAAATCCTTGTGTGTCAAATTTATGAATGAAAGAAATAATTTAATACTATTCTAAAAATAAGATTAATATTCCTGATACACCAACAAATTTTCAAATAAAACTTTGCAACATCTATGGCGTGAAATAATACTTTATGCGTATTCAACGTAATAGTTAACCACAGAGTTATCTTATTGATCAGTTGTCGCCTTTCTTCTATTTTGGCTTATGTTTGTCAATGCCAAAACACAAGCTAAATTAAAATGAATAAAGATTTTTCTCTTCACTTTTGGCGGATTACAATTAAAAGACTAAAACTACTGACTTATCATAAAACAAATATTATAAGAGAAGGCTACTTGCTTTCTTGTCCGAGACTCAATTATTTATAAGTTGAAACACAAACTAAGACCCTCTCAGGATACGATTCCTTAAAATGTGAAAATTACTTACTAGTGCACATTGACTAACTTGTAATATTCTGTACTGTGTAGTTACAGTTAAAGTTGAAGAATCTTGAATTGATAAGCGACTAATCGCTTGAGTTCGCGAGACACTAAATAAAACTTGGAAACGGTTAAAGACCTTTTATTATTCCAAATTAAAGCTTAACAGAACTCCGTCTTGGAGTTTTACAATAAAGCCGCCACTCGGCTTGAACTCAAAAACAAAGAAATTAGCTTGGTACTTAAGAAATTAACTTGGTAACTAACTTTTTTTAGTTTTACACTGCTAAGTAGGACTACTGACCGGAAACAAGCCCTTGCAGTATGATGTCCGCCCTGCAGACATTTATTAAGTCTAAATAAAAAAAATAAAAAAAAAAAAAAAAAGGTAACTAACTTGGTAACTAACTAAAAAGATATAGTCAAAGCTATGAAGCTATCAAAATTCTAACTGAATTGGCCCCTTAAAGCTGAATAATGGCGAAGCTATCATGGGCCTAAAGTACGGCCGAGAGTAATAACAGCTTAAGAGAGAGTAGCCTAAAAAGAGGGATGTGTGCTAGCCAGAATCACTGGTTCTCTCTACCGAAGACAGTAGAACTTCGCGGTTAAATACTTCTCCTCAATTTGCATTCAAACGCGTTTCTAAAACTACGTTGTGGCCGGAAGTTGTAAGTTGAAATTCAGGAACACAGGAAAGGAACTTTAACTCAAAATTTAACTGTTAAAAAAATTATCATAACTTTAGGCAGTAACGAGCACAGCCTAAAATAGGGCTCCATATGACGCAATGGCGACGTGGCGAAAGCTCCAGTACTTTCGAGATTAAGATTAGCCTCCTAATTTTAAATTATGCCTCATACCATTAAATTTTAATACTTTCCGGGTGAGCAAATTCTGTGACAGAAACCAAGAAGGATAGGATTCGGCTGACTCCAAACTTTGACCTAAAGAATACATATCATAACCTTGTATCAATTATTCCTTAGTGTGAAATCTTTCTATCTTAATAAATATTAAATTTTAGAAGTACAACAAACAGTTAACGATTGAGGCAGTTAACAATTAACTCCTATAATGATTTCTGTAAAATTTCTTCCTAATAGTATAGCTATCTAATAAAAGCTGCAGTATCGCACCTCAGCTGATTGAGAGAGAATTTAGTACACAACTTGCACTATTCAATTTGTTAATATATTTTTATCTTTAAGGTTTCTCAAAGTACTTGTGAGCTTATGTCTGATAGCCTTGGAATCAAAAAGACATGTAATTCTCGCATTCAAAATTTTAAATTTCTCAAAATAAGTAATCCTTTTCTTCCCTCTTTGAAAGAAGCAGGTAATAATATTTTTTTCGTTCGGTACTTATTAATAAAGTTTTAAGTTTTTCAGCTGATATAAAGTTCTTTGTAATTTATAAGGAAAAAAAAGAATATACTTAAAGCCATATACCAGTTATTATTGAAACTGCTTGATACACAAACTTTGAATGTGAATCTTGCTAGCTTGTAGAGTAATTATATGGAGCTGGAAACACCAAAAATCAGCTATGTTCTCCCCAGGATTCGAGCTCCTGATCCAGTACATCTAGCTGGACGTCCCACCACAATAGCATGCACTGGGAAAGGCAAAAGTTCCTTATATTCTCTAACACTTATAGGACAATTGGACAGAGGGAAACGAGATCCACTCGACCAGATGCAAAGTAGTAACGAATCTTCCATCGCCTTTCCTTCGGTTCCCACTGCAGAGCATTTTAGCTATTTTGGAGCTAGAATTATAAGACAACAGTTGTGCCTTAAGCAGGATTCGAACGATAGTCTTCCAATTACCCGTACTGGTGTACTACCAATTATACCATGACAACACAAAGTAAGGAAGACGAAAATTCCTTATATTCATTGGAGAAAGAGAAACGAGATCCAAAGCTATTCCATCGCGGGATCCAAAATCAGATCTTCTAATTGCTAGCAGGACGCAATGCTCGCAATGAAACCACGAAATGAGCAAGATGTAAACTATTTATTACTTATTGATTCATTTACATGTAGCACAAGGATGATTACAAAAAACATAAGTAATTCAGACATCATTTATTAGATAAACGGCAGATCCATTGTGCTGCATGACTAATATCACCGCAATAATATTTCAGGATAGCAAGGAAGGAAATCTCTCAAGCGTCGAATAGCATTTTGAAAGATATGCAGTTATTCAGACTTAGACGCTGTTATTAGTTCATCGATTGATGCCAGTTAATTATGAGATAATATAAATGTATCATGAATAAAACTGCAGTTTTTAATTTTTATAACTGATGGTTAAATATTCTAAAATACATTAAAGATGAATTATTTATTTTAAAGTTGTCTAACATGGTTTTCACTATTTCAGGATCTCAAGTTCCCGTGGTATTGGTTGGCAACAAGTCTGACCTCGAAGCTCATCGGCAGGTTTCCCATCAGACGGCGGAGAAGACAGCTACAGAGACAATGAGTGGCTGCCGTTTCTTCGAAGCTTCCGCTAAATGCGACATCAATGTCAAAGAGGTTTTTCTGGAACTCTTGCAGTTAGCGCGCAGCATAGAAGAGGCTCAAGAAGCTTTGCTGGAAGAGCAGGATTTGTTTAGGAGAAAGAGTCGAAGGCTATCCAAGAGACTGAGTAGAAAGCTCAGTGTCTTCAACAACATGGCTTTTAATCTGAAAAAATCGTCACCGAGTAAACCGAGTATTCCACTGGAACCCGAAATCCAGAAAAGCGCTAAAAATCTCAAAGAAAATCAGAAATGTGTATTACTTTAATGATAATGTTTGCAAGGGAGTGTGCTCAATCTGTATTCAAATATTTCATACGTTTTAAAGCATTTTCTTATGCACAAAAACCTTGTTGTCATACCTGAAAACAAACTTTTATAATAATATACGCATGATTCGTAAGATCCATTAATGTTATTTAGCAATATTTATTACAGAAGTTTTTGAAAAATGTTGTTTTTATAAGAACAACATTTATAGAAAACTGAAATTTCTTAAAAAGAATAAAATGGAATTACCTTTAAAGCATTACATTATAAATGTTGGAAAAACTACATTTAAACAGCACGAGAGTTTTAATTGAAATGACATTATTTTTTTTTACCTCACAAAAAAAAAAAAAAAAAAAAGAAATTTGACTTTTTGAAAAAAAAACCTGAAATAGTTTAAACACCTTTTACTAAAGTTAGTATTTTTAGGAAGGGAAGTTGTTTTCCAAAGGAAAAATTGTTAAAGACATTTTATAATGAACGAAATTCCGTCTTGCTGTTTATAACAACATTTTTGGTTGTGCGAAATCTTTCAATGAAATGCATTTTATTAAACACACTTCCAAGAAAAAATACTCATTCACTAAAAAATACAAATTAAGTTATTTAAAGAAAGCCAAATACCTTTTCCGATTAGTAGTATTTGAATTAGTTAACCAGAAGGCTAATAACGGAGCAAAATTCAAATTTCTTTGGAGTTGAAAGACTCCAATACATTTTGAAGGGTAAAAACTGTCTTTTTGCTTTAAAAACAAACCCCTTCTAAGGAACAGTCTAGCTCAATAATTACTTTAATTTTCTGAAGATGAATTATTTTAATTACAAATAAAATATAATATAAAATAATTATTTATTTGAAAATTGAATGTGGTTAATTAAAACTTCACAGAATAATATATTCTTTTTTTAATATTACATATAGTATTCATTAAAAAAACAATGTATTTTGAACAAAACTATTTCTCATTTGTCTTCTGAGATATACTGATCATTTTTATAGAAACAAAAGTTTTAAATAAAGGTCGATTATTGCTAATTATTAGAAGGTTGAATATAAACATAGCATTAAATAATCACAATACCAACTTATTTTAATAGGAATATTAAGAAAATGTTAAATATTTTTTAATGTCGTAATTGTGTTATTACAATTGATTTTACTAGGGATTAATCTATTAATTTCGGTTACGGAAAGATGTAATGTTAATTTTCAGATATAGAAATGTGCTGTCCTTCTTTTTTTTAACTATTTAATATCATATTTGTAATGGTGGAATAAAACTTCATCAGCTGTAGCCAGTATATTCTCTGTAACTTAATATTAGTGCATATGTCTTCAAATGCATTTATTTTTATGTATTTAGCTCATAATTTTCCTGACTTTAGTTTTATTGGAGGCTTTGAGAAAGATTTTTTTCCTTGAAATAGAAAATAGTTATTTAATGTTTATTACGAATAATCAAACAAATCAGTGAGTTAGTAACAGAGCTGCTTTATGCAACTAGGCAATGTAATTAAAATAAAGTTTAAAGTTCTAAATTAATGGCTTAAGTGAATTGGTAATAAAAATAATATTTTCATCATCTCTTTACTTAACCAACATTAAAGCCAGCAACTGTTTCTTTACATTTTAAATGTGCAGTATCTATCGCATATTGCTGCTAATCTTTATACTAAGGTATTCGATGGTTCGGCACACCTTTATCCAGTATCCTCATTTAATGACGTTATTGCTAACATTTCATTGTCAGTATTTGGAAATGCTCGGAAGTTGCTGCTAGTTTAGTTAAACTCTCCTTACCCCCTAAAAAATTACTTTTCTACTTTGTTTCCTTTCTTTATTTTATTTATTCAGAATGTTTTTAAAATTTGATAGAAGTCTTGACTAGAGAGTAAAAACAAATGGATGATTTTAAAATTTCACCAGAATATGGGTATTTCAATCCAATATGTTCAAATCTTCATCAAAGAATTATTCAAACTTTAAATGAAAGTATAGAAATTCGTTTGTGCAAAATGTATTAAACTTCAATTACGACATCAAGGGCTTCTAATCTCAGTTGACTATAAAAAAGGCAATATTCACAGCTTGGAAACATGTAAACATAAAAAGTTACAAAAATTATGAACAATACATTAAGATTTCAGAAAAAGAAATTATTGAATGGCTTGAAAGTAACTAAAGTGAAATTATTGTGGAACGTTTAAGAGTTAACGTCATAATTAAAAATGTATGGAACATAGGGAAAACTCAGGTTTGTTTTCAATATGGAAGAGAATTTTTCCAAAATTTACAATAAATGTTAACAATATCCCATATATACATATGTTTAAGATTTAATATAGTTTTGCTGGCTTCATTATTGTTCAAATCAATAATAATTCAAAATCATCAGTTTTTACACGAGTCAGTTATCGTAATCGTTTAAGTTTGTAAATTTTGCTGACTACAGGCAAAGAGTGAAATCACGTGAATTGATGCTCAATTATTCTATGTCATTTGACTTTAACTGTCACAATTCGAATTTTTGTTATTTATTCCATAAATAACAAAAATTAATTTATGGAATAAATAACAAATTTATTTATGGTATAAATAACAAAAATTCGAATTGTGACAGTTAAAGTCAAATGACATAGAATAATTGAGCATAATATAATATATGTAAATATATATCAATTTTAACATTAGGAATTATGTAAAAGAGTATTTATTTACAAAACTGATAGTATGCATAAAAAATAACATTAAGGGTATATATTTATATATATAACGCAAGCTATATACACTCATAGAACAATATTTTTTAAAATTTTAACAGCAAATTTATGACGCATGCTTAGCCTCAAATAAGCATAAAGCTTGTTTTAATAGAATTTCAAATTTCTTTTCTAGCCACGTTTGACAAATTTCCATTTGTTTTGGCTATTGAATTTCTATCTAGTTTAATGCACGCAGAGTAGCTTGAAGGATTAATATTAATATTAACCATTGAATATTAATTATATAGGTCAACAATCTGGAAAATAAATAAATTGATCTTTACTATTAAATTCACATACATCTTCTATTTACATAGAAATGAGTTTAACTACATTCATCAATTCTTTTCGTTGTTTTCTAAGTTTACTCAGTTTGCTTATTGAGAATTTTAAGCTTCTGTTCAAATTAATATCCTCTTCGAAATTTAAATCCTCTTTGAAAATTAAAATTAATATCCTCTTTGAAATAATTATAATTAATATCCTCTTTGAAATAATTTAAATTAATATCCTCTTTGAATTTTTTCCCTATTTTAATTACTGCTTTTGTATTTTCAACGGCTTATATTAAGATTTTGTTTATTTAAATTATTTTCATGTGTCTTAGCTTTTAATCATTCATTCATTCATTTAATAATTCATTAATTATTCTTCCATGTATACAATATATAGAAAGAGAGAGTATATATATTAATGAATGATTACTGCACTTACTTATGTGGTGTCTATATATATTACATATATATGTATATATATATCCTGCTACACCGTTTATGTGAATAATGAAAACATCGCAATTATTGATTCACTAATCATTATGTTCTTATGCATTCGAAAGCAAATTTAAAGGCTAATTGCCATCGATATTTGCAATTAAATTTATATTTTTTGTCGAGACATGCTAAACATTTTGACAAAATTCTGTAGTTAGTGATAAATTTTTCATGTAAAATCTGTATACGGTGTAACAATTTAATATCGGAATGCCAGTGAGTGTCCCCTAATATGATTGTTTCAAGATCACGTGGTTAAAAATGGAGTATGATAATTAAATGTTGAGTTTAAACGGAAAAATAAGTTACTAAAATATTATAGATGTTGCAAATGGTACATGATTAGTGTTCTATGGAAATGGGCAGCGTCTTTGACTGGCATAAGCGATATAATTCTAGACCGGAATATATGACGAATGATTCCTAGAAAATGGAAGCCAAAAACAATAATGGCGAATGTTAGTTTTATTAAAGTACGAAAAGCATATCATCCGAAAAGCCATTAAATATAAGATTCATAAGTGAAGAATTATAATTAAATGAAAAGCACTTAGACTTCTCATTCTTTAGTTTTTTTCTTTAAACTGAAGGTTTTTCACTTAATTTTAATTAAAAGAACTAGGCTTCAGAAAACTTTTTCTGGAATCTCTGGTGCCTCACGTATTGTCTTATACTGCATTCCTTAAAAGAGAATTTCTTGTCAAAATATGATCATCCAATTAGAATGCACTATTGTTTAGCTCCCTATGATTTCTGGACATATGTCAAACTAAGAGTTGGATCGATAGAATGAACATTTTTAATATCATCAAGAAGAATTTCAAACAGAAAGTTAAACTGGTGCTTGACAGTATTCCAGAAATTAATCCCAATCTCGCTTTCAGAAATGGAAACCTGGTATGAGTCATAATATTCCCAAATAACGAATGCATTTTGAAGGCGACGGTATCCATTAATTCCAATCATATATATTGAGATGCATTCTGGAAATGAAATTGCTATACCTCGTATGTTTAAAATGTCGTTTCAGCTACGCATTTATATTCATTGCCAAAATACATTTTAATCTGCAGACTATTTACAATTACAGAAATTTTATTATAAATTTATAATATTTAAATATATTTATTATATAAATTTATGTAAATTATTATTTACAGAAAAATTCTTGGACAATATAGTTGTAAATTACGTTTATTTATCTGTGTGATAACTTTAAAAGATGCAGTAATATTGCATATTTCATTCAACTAAATAATTTAAAGCATTTACATCACATCGGTTTTTGAAAGTTTTAAAGTAATAATGAATTATTGTACAGTAAAGCAAACAAAACATTTACGTATTCATAATATTTTGTAAACTTCATTCATTTATGCAACAATAAAATGTCAAACATCTATCCTTTCTAATATAATTTTACTGTGAAGCTTATTGATGCCAATAACCATTTAAAAACGCCAAACGTATTCACTTACTAATGTAAAAAGGTTCTAGTATTATCAAAATTGTTGACTTCGAAAATTTTCATCTATCTCTGAT